AAAGACCTACAATACATATAATTATGTTTTTCATGCAACGTACCTTCTGTCATCTTCCGTGCTTTCTTAGCAGCTACAAAAGAATATAAGTAACGTTTAAAAAATAAGCAGGAGTATTTTAGTAAACATAGTTTAAAACAGGCGCATCTGAATACCGTGTGGCACGGGATTTTTGCGGGAGTTTATTTTTGGGGATTGGCAATTTAATTTGCGTTTCGCGTAACTAATACTTGCAATAAGGACAGATTGGTTTTTCTTATTGGGAATGAATTTTTTTTGCAATTTTCATAAAGTACCCAGTATCCAGCATTGACAATATTTTCGTTTTTGCGCCAGAAAGAGAAGCAACTTAGAAAAACTTACCAGGCTGTCTGGGCTCGTCTGTAGCCTACAGAGACATAGAAACAATCAGTATTAGAGCAGAGGTCTTCCCGACTGTCACGGATATACAAGTAAAGGGTTTTTCTATTGCATTTGATCCAAATGATCATGATACTGATGACGATGATATTATTTACCGTTTTACTGAAGAGACACTTTAGAAAAAGGTTAAAATTCAACATGATACGGTTTTTCATCGGCTATTGAAAGTACAAGTGTCACGCATACCTGACGGTCTTTCTACAGGATAACTCCTTTATTGCATGGAGTTACTTTGACTCCTAATTCAATTCCAAACCTGGGTTGTTTTTACTGCTAAAAAAGAGTTCTTTTAACTCTCAGCCTGGAGCTAAAATAGGCAATAAAAGATTATTTCTACTCCTTACATGAGTTGTTTTTACTCTTTTGGAGCTAATTTAACTCTTAAAGAGGAGTAAAAATTTTAGGCACAGGACAACTTCTCTTTAGAAGGTGATTTTAACTCCTGAGTTTTAACTCTTATTCTAATTTTTACTCCCTCAGATGAAGAGTAATTTTAACTCCATCAGTTTTTGGCACCAAAACTGGGGTTAACTGAATTAACTCTTCTCATTCGCATTTGTTTCCCATGACAAGAGTACCTGACTTTTAAGTAACAACTTTTCCTGAAAGATAGGTTTAGAGACAACAACAAATTAAACTTCGACAGCTTGATACTATAATACAGAAATCAGCGCATTTAATAAAAGCACACCCGTTGTGCTATTTCAGTCACATTTCATTGACTGAAATACTTTCTCTTCATAAAACAAATACAAATAAATTGTTCAATAATACATTCTATATTCGCGATCCGTTAGTAATTATAACTAGTAATAGTTGACACTACAGCTGCCCCCGCTCTGTACATTGTCGTCAATAGTATTCTTGCTCGTTGTGTAGCCCTTTGAAATATACCGATTCATAATGAAGATTTTCACACATATTCCATACAACAGGTGAGATAAATACAGGAAACGCAAGGTTCCATACACAGTTTCAGTTCGATTTACACAGCTTTTATTAAAACATTCTCGGTTTCGAGAATAGTTTATTCAAAACCATAAGGAAAGATTTAAATAGAAGTTGAATTTTTCGCCATTTCTCTTTCACTCTTGTACATTCAGTTCATTTTATTTGCCGGAAAGTAAGCCTTAGAAATTAAGAGGACGTTTGATCAATTCGATTCACGCTAGCGCATTCTAGTCTTATTTTAAACTTGATAGGACTTCTGTGAGCAGGGAATAAGTCAGCACAGAATTTGATTGTCGACGAATTTCTGTAATTGTCCATCGTTCTGCTAGTGATGTTCACTCGTCTTGTTTGTTTGGGGTTGAGTCTCATTCCGGTCAAAGAGGGAGCCTCCCTCTTTGACCGGAATGAGACTCAACCGGAAAGACAGCTGGAAAGATAGCCTCCCCCGCAGACGTCCTTTGGGGTTCGTTCGTCACGCATTCATTTCTTCCCCCGTGGGGGAGAAATGAATGGGTGACGAACGAACCCCAGAGGACGTCTGCGGTGAGGCTAGGAGAAAGAATGTCTGGCAAGGTTTCCAATCAAAAGATTTGTGAACTCGTGTCTGCAAAACTCTCCAAGTCATGTTATATACACAGTTAACGCACCTTATAACTTATAACTTCATCTGCGCTTAACGAGTGTTTTTTGGTCCATAACTTTCAAAACAACTACTCCACAGAATGTCACTGATAACACGTAATGCAAAAAATCTACCTAAGCGGCCCCTTCGGGATTTTCTGCCTTTACGTCATCCTAACCATTTCGTACTTGCGGGTGCAAACAATAGAAACGTCATCATTTAACCTACCGATTCCTCGCGGCCCAAATTAGGACAGGGACAAATTTAATCTTCAAAGAGTGTAGTAGGTACAAAGCGAAATTGGCAGTGGATTTTTCTCCAAAATGTTACCTTTTGTCTTAAGTGTAACTCTGTTAGAATTGGTCAGAATATCCAAAACAAGGCATTGCTGGAAAGATTCATCTTTGCTAATATTGTTGCTTACCAATTTATTAACTTAAACTGAAAGTTACATGGGTCCAGGAAGGAAAATATGCATCCTTCCATATGAAGGGTTAAGTTTTCAAACAAATTTGTTTAAAGCGAGTCTCTTTTTCGCTTCCGTTGGCATGCTAAGAAGAGCTAAAAAATAACTTAGTAAATGACTGTTTTAGACCAAGCACAAAGGATATTTAACAATTATTCCACGAGTGCGCGTTGCATATGAAATGATAGATAGCCAACGCGTCGTGTAGTGCCGAGTTGGTAATAATCATCTCATATCGAACAAGCGCGAGTTAAATAATTGTTTTATTTAAAATGTCCACAAAATACCTAGAATTCTCCCCGAATTTATTTGTAAAAACAACCGATTTTCAGCTTGTTTTTAATTTTGAGCAGACGTGTACAGTTACCGTATTTAGAGAGCATGGTATAGTGGCTCGTATAAAACGACGACTAAGCCAATCACAGCTCTAGAATTGCATTATCTAATGGTTCAGTTTTTAATAATTAAAAATATCCTTTGTGCTATATTCAATGTAAAAGCTGTTAGAAGGTTAGGCAATTATGTCTACCTTCAGGGACCTTCATCATCTTAACTTTTACCCATTCTTAAACCTTTTCAACTTCTGTCCTAGTTTGTTTCGCTTTTAATCTCCTTTTAAAGGAGTTATTGTAATGTTTTGCACGGCTTCCTAACAGAGAGCGCATATTTCGGCGGCCAGGGAACTTGAGCAAAGGCGTTTTTGAGAGACGCACGTCAACCGGAAGTGAGGTCTTTTTCATTTTAAAATATATTGACGATACCAAATTTGTATTTCTTAGTCTTTTTCTTATTGTAGAGACGAGTTGCCCAAATATTTGGACAAAAATACCGCTCAAGAATGAAAAAAGTCCACTTCCGGTTGACGTGCGTCGCTCAAATACGTCTTTGCTGAAGTTCACTCACGCACACTAACACCCAGGGGTAACACTCCAAAAGTGACTCCGAGCCCTGGTCGTCTTTGTTTCTTATTGCAGCTCAAGTAGAAAATACTCTATTCTATTTTGTGAGTAATAGACAGGGTTGATGACATCTACTTTAGGTCTGCTACCCCAACCTCGTTGTTTCTCGCTTTCTTAATGTGGGACCAGAAGGCTTTAGGACTGGTTTGACAGGCATCTACAAGAAACTTAGTTGTATATTGGTCCCGAGATTTTGATAAGGCTTTGTGCAGAGCTTTTCTAGTGTCTCTAAAGTTAGAACAGTGTTCAGGGTTCTTAGAGTTTTTGGCTCTGTTGTATAGCTTCTTTTTCTTCCGACAAAGGCGGCGGTGGGGGGATGTAAAACAGGGAAGATTATAACGACCAAGTTATGTACTGAAGCACACGTACCAACTCTGCGGTATGGCCATTACCTTACGCATGCTCACAACCATATCACCCGGGCAGTGGCAGCCTGATGAGCCCCGACAAAGGCAAAACAGCTGTCCATGGCTGCCACTGCCCGGGTGATATGGTTATGCGCATGCGCAAGGTACTGGCCATACCGCGAAGTTGGTGCGTGTGCTTCAGTGCATAAATGTACTTTCCGCTTCTGCAACCTTTTCCTTTCAGGGTGAACCAGAGGATCAAAAAGTACCATGTCATGATCACTTCTACCAACCGTTACTTTCAGTTTCTACTTCCAAAACGTAGTAAAATTTACTCCACTGAAACACAATTCAACTCCTTTTTGGAGTTAAAATAACTCCCAAAAACACAACTCTACTCTAAGGAGTTAAATATTAATAATCCTGTTGATTTATTTTGCGATGTGTTTCAGACAGTACGTATTGAATGGTCATAGCTTAAAATAAAAACGTATGTCTTACCGGACGTTCAAGGCGAAGACGGGGAATTGTTAAGTGCAATTTACCCAGTAAGTATTCCTCTGTGGGTCTACCAATGTTACGGAATTCAACATTTGCTATAGGATCTTCCTCAACCACACGGACCCTCAAATTCTTTATCACTGGCGAATCGCAGTCAACCCTTAATTTAAAAAAAATTTAGATTGTTATATATCCAACTACTGAACTTTCTGGCCAGAGTAAACAGCTGAAATCAACTTTTGACACGCGCTAAAACGCCTTTCTTGAATTTGTGGTTGAGTAATTCCATAGTATTCGCATTAAGTCCTTTTAAAGCATGTTTAATCATACAATGGGGTGAATAGTAAGCCAATTTTGATTGGTCGTTGTCCACGACCAATGGAGTAGAGACACTCGGGTGACGCCACGGGAACTTTTTTTGTCCAACATGGCGGGGGGGGGGGGTTGGAAACATTTGCTAGCAACTGCGGGGGTGGAAGCTTTTAGAAAATCCGGAATTATGAATAACATTGTCTAGCCTCGGATACTGAATAACTCATAGCTATTTAAATAATCCCATAAAAACGAAAGACGAAAGAAATGATTTCAACTTTGTTGCTTATCGTAAACATTGAAATCCGCGCGAAACACGAGAAATCAGGATACAAAACAAAGCGGCAAAATGGTGAGCGAATGGACTTCGCTACCCTCTTATTCCTTATTTTTGTACTTGGAATTCGAAGTTTTAACACTTACACGAGGAAGAGGCCACCTTGGTCTTTTGGGTCATGTGGACATACCCCTCCTGAGACAAAGACAAATGCTTTGTCTAGCCATGGTCTCATAAGTTCACTTGAGCTCACTACGTTTTGCGTGCTTGTTATCCGGGGATTATCCTTAAGCTCCATTAACACATCCTTCCTGAGATGTTTTGGGAAACATACAAGAATTATAATTTCTCTGGACTCTGGATGGAAGTAAGCCAAGAAGTACGGCATTATGTACATATTCTGCGGCAGCCGACCAACATTTTCAGGGACACTGGAATCTTCGTTGCGCCCATCCAAAAAAACCCAGAATCTGAAATAGAGAAACAGAAGGGTAAATTAATCATCTTAAATAAATGGTTAGTTGAGCTTGCTTCAGCAGAGTGAGACTCTAAAAATGCAAGCGTGTATCCCGTCGCAAAAAGGGGGGCATTCTCCCAGGCGTTCCTAGGGGAGATCGTCAGGATGGAAACTGCTTTCATTGTATGCAAATGAGCTTTGTGATGAGCATGCGATTTATTTTCTGCGATGACTGAAAGAACGCGTGAAAGTTGAAAACGTTTTCGCTGTTTGGCAATGATGTCATTTCCCCCGAATCGAGGCCTTTGATTTTCGTGTAATTATGCACGTGTATTAAAAGTAATTATCATTCATTAAAAATATTTTTCCGTTTCTGATTGGCTAAAATCACACGCATAATTCATCATAACAAGCTTCGGTTGACAAAATTTGGAAGAATTTTGTCACATTGAACCGATGACGTCAAAAGTACAGCCAAAGTTGCAGATTATTGAACCGTTAACCGAGAAAACCTGGGGACGAAGTTGAGTTGTTTTGGCAGTGAGAACAAAATGGCGGAACAGTGGGAAGAAAAATTTTACTCGTTTCACGGCGAAATATTGTCTAAAAAAATTGTAAGAACAGCAAGACGACAACTCAACTGACGAAATCGGCTATTTGGAGTATATTTGCAAACCTGAACACACCTTTATCTCCTAAATTTCCCGATATAGATGCACTATCGATATGGACTTAACAATTCGACCGAGGTAAGCATGTTTTAGCTTGTTTTTAAACTTGGAAATTAGTTTGAATGAATAATAAAGCAATTGTTGAATTCGGCTTTCGTAGAATATGAAGAATTCTGCAGATCTCGGAGGGTGTTATCCACCTTGGCCCGCAAAACACCCTCCTCGATCTGCAGAATTTTCATATCCTACTCAAACTCATTCAATAATTGATAAATACCCCGAGCGGGATAAGAAAATATTTTTCTGGTGTATTGAGGCGTTACGATTCTCAGAATATTGTCGCAATTACTGGAACTCTACGGTGATTTAACCTTCGAGTACTAGTGGAAGAAAATTCAACTTCGCGTCTGACGTTACGCATGTGTCACGGATGTGTTTATACGGGTAACTTTGTAAGTGACTGTCACGCACTCTTTTTGCAGCACCGACGCCATGTCTATAGAATAAAAAATCTCATATCGCGAGCTTTTCCGGAACGGGTCGGTCCACGACCTCTATTGCTTGAAAGCGTTGGTTACTTTGGAACAACTGATTTCTTCAATGGTAGAAATAAAGAACAATCTTCGAGGTCTACTGAAAAACCAGGATGGAGGATGGAGGATGGAGGATCGGGCATCGAAAATCGCGGATCGAGGATCGGTTAAAAAAAATCGAAAATAAAATAGAGAAATAAATAAATCGTGGATCTTGGTGATGTGGGCGGCAGACTGTAGATAAATTACACAGAACATAACCCCTCTCGCTGTACTGAGCACTAAATTTAAGTAAACTACTCCCAGTCTGACTGAGTCAGTTACTGTTTTGACGAAAAAGTGAAATTTCCTGGAAAATGAAACGCTTTGTCCCAGTGATTCTGTGATAAAGTGCATGCTGTGTACAGCTTCTATTAGAAGCAGATACCAAGCAGCCATGGAAAATGTAATTATTTTCACGCATTTTGATTTTTTATAAAGCGAACAACAAATTCAACAGGAATACGCGCGAACTTTAACTGTCTGTTGTATAAGGTTCTGCTAATACACAGGGGCACCCAACAACGGTTTCCTCCTAAATACATTGAAAACACTTTTTAGGCTACCCAGAGTACTTTTAGAGCTCTAGCAAGGCATTCTAAACGGCGCTGTAAAATTTGTATCTGTTCGGTCATCCTAGGGGAACTTGAGTCTTTTCGAAATAACAAGGGCTTGAATATTATTTTCCCGAAATTTTAGATGCAATTTAAAGTTTTATGAAAGTCCTAGTCCTCTTTCCATCGCATTTTCAAATCCGAAAATTTTAGGTTTCCTTTTCTACGAAAAATAGCCTAACCTGAGGATTGAAATGCGAAAAATTGAACGTCAGAAAATCGTAGGGAATTTATTTGATAATTGCTTCGAAAACTTGTATAAGAATGAAACGGTCTTCTGAAAATTTTTAGCTTTCTTCAAGCTATAGAAAATTCTAGGGATTATTTTGCTTCTCCGAACAGATATTTTAAAGAAAAAAGTCATTGGGTGCCCCTCTTATACATTTTTCCTCTGTTGAACAAAAACTCTACCGAGCCGTATCTTGTCCGCCACATAGAAGCTATTTATATTTATACTGATAAAAATCGTCGTTTAATTTTTTGAGTGTAAAATCCCTGAAAGAGTTCTCCTCACTGGAGCAATATCAATATGCAGAAGGTTTTCAAAGGCTTCACACAGGTGTGAAACTAAGATGCGCGGCCTGTCTCTCCTTGCAATTTTTACGTTTTCAGTACACATCATGAAATATAACACTCGTTTTGTATTCCAAACGAAAAGGTAGCATAACAGCACCAGCTGACAACAAAACGTATTTACAAGCAAGCGAGACTCAACGCTACTAAGACCTTCTTGTTTTAATGTAGATCCCTCAGCTATAGGATTACGATAAACTTTTACAAATAGAACTTTCGCCAATAAACGCCATATTGAGTAAATGACAGGCTAATTAGCCACACCGCCTTCAAATATAACTTCGGCGGTACCCCGACACAAGAACGCAGCGGCATGTTTGGAATTTCATTAAGAGAAGCGATTATTGAGAAACATTGCATTAAAACCAGCTGCAGTGAAAGAGTGAATGAGTCCTAATGGATTTTTTATACGTTTAAAATGCAATGTCAGGGCTTTAATAAAACTACTCTAAATAAATATTAGTTAACGTTATTGCCATTAATTTTCGGAAGGGGTTGAATGTCATTGCATGCCACGTGATGCATGGCTCCATAATCAATCAATCATCGTTGGGGGAAGTAAACCCTTCTTTCAAACCAAAAATATATATTTTTACTCAACATATTCTTATAATAACAGGGAAGACGGTAAAGCAATCCAGCTATGAATCATGGGAGCAGAGCAACTGGACCCAACTAGAATGTTTTATTTCTAGTTAGTTAAGTCTAGTTCGTTCCATTTCTGCAACGGTCGCCTTTTAATAACCGTATTCCCTCGAATAATAGCCCCCTCTCGATTAATCGCCTCCCTTGAGTAATCGTCCCTCTCACCCTTCTCGCCATCTTCTCTTTCTTTTATCCCTTCCCTGTCAAGTTGAAGTGGAGTCTGATGCGGCAAAACTCATCAGTGACGATTCAATTTCTGACGCCGAGGATACTGACATTGAAAATTAATCAAGGAACCAAATTTGGAACACTAAAAAGGCCCATATTCAGTTTATTTTATTTGGTCATTTTTTTATTTAATGGGAAAATGAAACAATAAAAAGGGCATGACTTCCAGTGAGCAATGTTTAAAATAATCGCGTTCCCTCGAATTATCACTGCCTTTTTGTGCGAAAAAAATAATAATCGCCCCCGGCTATTATTCGAGGAAATAAGGTACCTGTGATTAGTTTTAGTTTGTTGTTGTTGTTGTTTTTTTTTTTTTAATTGTCAAAGATGACCGAAGTTTGTAACAGTTTAGAGAGAAAAGAAAAAATACAAAACTGGCTGACAGGAGGGAGATGTAGACCCCTGTTCCTTTCCCTGGCTTACAAGAACTACTATAACCATACCCAGAGAAGTGGTCAACCTGGAACCGAACAAACTTCCCATCAAAACTTGCAGGATCTAGAAGATCGCCGGTGATTTCAGTCCATTCTTTGTGTTCGCCTCTAGACCTCAGAAACAATACCCTGACACGGCACTTCGAGGTATTCCCAATTTCTTTCTGTTCACCTCTAAGAGAAACTGGCAACTGAACAGTGACAAGCTTTGCGAAATTAACGACGTGGGAGCAGTTGATCCGTAGTACAGATCCAAACCATAAATCTTGTCCTTCAAATTCTCTTCTTGGAACTTCGTGTACCTTTAAGAATGTATAAGAAATAGATAGAAGAAAAGCATTTCCAACATTATTGGGCTTTTTTTATTTGAGCGCATGAGATTAAAGGGACACAGTCGCCTTTAGGACCGCGCGCAATGACCTGGACACTGGCTTTTTTTAATTTGCAACTTTGAAAAGCCTTTACCTCAACCCTAAATCAACACCATCTTGCCTAGTGTTTCATTCGATCTCTCACCTTTTACAGAAAACTGTTCCGGAGTATTACTGATCCTATAATAACATCTTATCGTATCTGGTTAAAAACAGTATGAATCGCATATCTTTGATTTGCAATTTAGCTAAGAAAAGGTATGTAACGCGCAGGTGCAAGCAGTAATCTTCAAGTCGGAATTTTACAAAGTTCCGTTGAACAACTTGTTTTATTTGCCAGTGCAGTGATGATTTGAAATAAAAACCAGTGCATATCCTTCTAGTATTCTCAAACAAGGGAACCAGTGAAAAGATCATCTGGCATCATTCTGACTTTCCGAATACTTGTCTTTGCCATCCTGTTCAAGTTTAGTATTAGTGTTCTCAAATAGACCTTATTCACGACATCCGCCATCTTTGCACGTGCATTAGGACTGATGGGTAAAAAGCAACGTCACGTGGTTTCTCAGGGTGCGAAAAAGTGATAAAATCTTCCAATACAAGAAATTGCGGTTGTGTTTGTTTATTTTAGACAACTGAAAATGAATAACGTTTTATCTTAAAGACAACAAGGGCAAGTTATGGATGGATTTGATCGTTGTTATTTTTTTCAATGCAGTAGCTACCGTAGATGTCCTTACAGCAAGAAATAATGAAGTGAGAACTTCTCGAAACTTGAACTGTACATTTTGCAAATTTAAAATTGCCTTATCGTTTTCAGGGGATAAACAAACTCGACCGCGATTTCTCGTAGTAGCAAATTTTATCACTTGTTTGCGCCCTGAGATACAACGTGACATTGCTTCTATCCCATCAATCCCAAAGCGCGTGCAAAAATGGCGGGTATCGTAAATAAGGTCTATTCACCACGCCTACCTTTAACTCTAAAGAGACCCTTGTTTTACGTGCTACAGCGTTCTTAGGGATTGTCACAGTTACACCTGGATAACAAGGATGATTGAAGGAACCACCATAAGATGTGATGGTGTAAGAGGGAGACGACTTGAGACGACAGATCACTGCGTATGTCGAACACTCAGTTATGTCAGCTTGTGCAACAGGAAGGTACCAGTCCTCAACTTCCATGAGAGAAGGGTACTCACTGATATCTGTAATCAACAAAGTGGATGAATTAAACCCCACAGGCGCGTGTCCTCTTTACGACACTCTCGGCAAGCTGGTTGTCTAACTAAAATTGGCCATTTAATCAGACGGGTATAAAACACAAATTAGTAATAACAAAAACACATATGTGGTTGAAAAGTAGCTGCGGCCGGGTAAAAGAAACCAATACGTTTAACAACAAATTAATTCGCACCCGCGTCGCGATTTTGTGTACATTTCTTTGCCGCCACTGCATGACTTTGACGTGAAAGTGAATAATTTCACGTTTTGTGGAGGGCGAAACACAAGACAACGACTCTCCTTTTCTATTCCTGAACTTCGATACAGAAAAAAAATTGCTAAACACTTGACGAAGTGAACAAGATGGAATAAGCGCAATGAAGTTGTAAGCAGCGCGAATCCACTTTTTATATAAGTCACGTTTTCGTAGCCATCGCCGTTGTTGTTGCTTAACAGGAACGTGAGTAACATTCCGTCACGTCGTTTACGAAGTTTAATTGGTCAGTTATCTTTTTTTCTCGTTCTAAATATGTTACTTGCGAAACTGGATAATCAAGAGCATGGGACAAAGCAAACGTTCGAGAGTTAACGTTTCAACCCCTTATAAGTTTCTGGTTATAAATTGAAAATTTCAGGTTTCATTTGGAGAGAGTGTTTTTGTTAAAAAAGTTGGTTGAGACGCAACGTTTTTCACTATGAGTTAATATATAGTTTTCAAAATATCCAAGGCACCTGACTGATCCTGTAAGTCCTCTGTTCCAGTGACCTCCTCCCAAATATTGTTCTCAGTGTCAGTCTGCCTTTTAATAACCACCTCATAACCAGCTAAATCCGGCGCACTGTGACAGAGGAACAGTTGTACTGCAACATTGAATTTAAATCCTTGGCCTTTGTTTGTGGCGATTTCAATCACGTTGCTAACAACGGCCTCATGGTCATGAAGTGGGGGCGAACGAGCTGTATGTTTCCATTTGTAGACCACTATTGACGTAGGCACAGACACGGAGTTAAAAGGAAACGTCAAAGAAAGAGCCCCTGCCGTCGGGTACAAATCGCGGGATTGCTCGCTTCTCAATGTTCCTCTGCAATTAGTCAACAAATCAAGCAGACAATGAATTTATCTATAAGTGCCAAAGAACCTGTATGTGTCAGGTGTACTGTAAAGTTTTGACGTGGACTTTCGCTGTCATTTCAGATGCAAGCATACTTAAGGACAGAATTATGCCAAGTGGAGACAAGAAAAGGAGAGTACAGTAGTTTTAGGTGGAGAAGAGTACAGGATAATAAGGTAGACCAGTGCATAGCAGGGTAATCAGTCAACGTACATGATCCGGCTTAGATACTTACTCGTAGATTACTGTCTTATCTTGTTCTTCTTGCACAGGCCTACCTTCTGGATGGAACTGATGACATTCTGGTGAAAAAATAGAATGGGGTGAGGATGAGAGTGTTGCATCTCTTTTAGTCTATGAGTTTTTTTAAACTTTTCTCAGCTAATCAGTTCTCAGCCTCTACGAACCATATTTGCATGGGTCCGGTCTTGTTTCTCCCCGAAAAGAGAACATCTCTTCGGCAAGAAGCTCGGGCACATGACCAAAACAGCGGCTGAGTCAATTCCGGACCGGTCAATCGGGCGAGCAACGCGCTCCGCTAATGTAAAAATTAAGAGGAGTATTAGCCTAAAACTTACGACAAAAAGTCCAGTCTTACCAAAAAATTGTATGTTTCTAAAACTGCGAAAAACTCAGTTGATTAAGAAACTCAGAACAGCTTAAAAAATCAGACAGCTTACCCTTTACAAAGCGCAAACGTTGCTATAGCGTTGTTCAAAACTCTATTCAATGAAAATTGAATCAGACAGTTTGAAGGCATTGAACCAGTTTCGTCAATTGTTGGCTTCAAGACATGCATCTCGGCAACCTGTTTACTTAAAAATTTTTTGCGTTAATTTTGATTGGTTTGTGTGTGCTGTTCCCAAAGTTGAAGTCTTGGTGTCTATCATAAAATTGCGAAACACAATGCCCTTTCATTTACGGAAATAGGGCATTTGCTATTGACATTTATTTTTTAATCTTACTGGCCAGCCTGGTTCTCTTAAGTTGAGCTTTTTAAGATAGTTTTATCAAAACTAAAATTGGTTGGCAAGTCACGTTCAAGCTATGTTTCGTTCTCAGACCGCTCAATCGGAAAGCCTTTAACATTAATATTTATAGAGTTTCTGAAATAGTTCTTGAATCTTACTGACCAGCCTGGCCCTCTTAAGTTGAGCTTTTAAAAGTAAAACTGGTTGGTCATTCACGTTCAAGCCATGTTTTGTTCTCAGACCGCTCAATCGGAAAGCCTTAGCTTTAACATTAACATTTATAGAGTTTCTGAAATAGTTTAATGGCAGCTGAACTATAGTCTTATAATGCGATTCTAATAAGAGGTATAAGGTGAAAGGTTATCCTTACCTTTCCTCACCAACGTTTTGGAAAATTCCTCCTCGGGGACGTCAAATTCTCCATGACTCACGTCCACTGCGATTTCAACTAAAAAAAAAAACAAAAAAACAGGTTGTCATATTCAAGAAATCGAGACAAATTTTGGCAATTTTGTTACCGATGACGGAGTGATAGGCTGTTTGCATCTCGTGGTCACGTGACCTTATTAATGCAATTTTTTATGAGACCAGAGTTAAAATGAGCATGGGGAAATTAGCTAGAAAGCAAATTCTGAGGTGACTGACGCAAAAAAATACGTCTACAAAATAGACTAATACGGATTTGTATGTAAAAAAAGATTGTCAGACCGGCAGGTGCAAGGCGTCCACTGTTAAGAGTTTAGAACTTTTAAGAATTTTTAAGTTGTCTTTCAGGTCAAAAGTGAGATTCAAGCAGTCTCCTGGAAGGCACACACAACAGGCGAGTGGCAAGACGCGAGAAGCGAGTGCGTCAGGCTCGAGCCTCTTCCGTCTCGCCTCCCCTAGTTGCTTGTAGAGCCATTTTGTTCTAGCCTGCGTGGCAAGCATCGAGAAACTCGCAGTCTAAATGATGGTAGAATGTAAAAATATTCGCGAGTCTTACCGAGACCAGTGACTTGGCCCTTAAAATTCAACTGCATCAAGGCTAATTCCTCGTCAAGATCACCATTTTCTTTCCTACATTCTTCAAAGCATTCCATTGCAACGAAACCGGCAACAGCATTCCCTTTCTTGACTTTTTCCATTAAAAGCTTGATAAGGGTCACTGCTTTTTCTTTCTCTTGAATTGCCAAGATCCCACATGTGAACAAAAGCACTTGCTTCAGCTTATCGAGATATATTTCGTTAGTGGCTATTTTTTCAACACTGATTTTTTCTTCAACAACATGGCAGCTAAGAAAAAATGCCGCAAACAGTTGTTGCAAAATCGTGTCCAAAAAGCTGTAATACAGACATGGTCTTAATTTGCTGCCTCCAGGATGAGCTGATAGAAATCCGAATCCAAGTACTTCCAAGCAATTTCCCAACCGTCTCTCGTCAAAGTACTTTTCACGTCGTAAGAGACCGCTTAACGCTACCGAGCCAAGTTGTTTCAACTGATCTTTGTAGACTCCAAGTAAATCCTCATTTACTGGTCGACCATTCTTTTTATTGTGTATTTTCAGAATACAATGAACTATCTCCAGATACAGTCGAGTGCTGTTTTTTGGAAAATTTCCTTCAAATTCTTCACAAATGAGGCAAAGTAGGGCACTGTTTAACGGGTTGAACATAATTTCTTGCAGGTTTTTGTCTTCCTTGAGCTTGAGCAAAAGCTTTTCTGCTAGATCATCCCTTCCTTTAAAGAATTTATGCACAAACTCTTGTGCATTTTGTAGAGTGAATTCTTGAATCTCGAGCACAAAACCAAAGTATTTTCTTATTGGTATACCACCCTCATGGCGTGCTGTAACCAACAAATTACACCCGGGAAGGATTCGACCTTGAATAATTTCAGAAAACGTCGGCAGTTGACTCTGAGGTAACTCGTCAAACCCATCAAGAACCAGTAGAACCTTTGATTGATTGTCACGAACAAACTTGAAGAGTTCCTCTCTTTCTTCCTTTTGAATTTCTCGAGGTAAAAGTTGATCATCAATGGCCTCCCAAAGGTCAAACTCTCGACCGACTATGTGACGGCATTTCAGCAAGAGAACCACTTGAAATTTCGAAAACCAGTCTCCTGCAGTGGTATCCCGTGTGGCCCAATCGTAAGCAATCTTTCTGCAGTACATCGTCTTTCCTGTGCCAGGATTTCCTTCAATTAACACTCTTTTGGCCTCTGTGCTTTTTTCTTCGTATGGTTTGAAGATTTCATCCATTTCATTAACTTCATGTATTACTGTCCCTCTAGCGTTTTTCTCTCTTTTGAACATCGTGAGCCTTGCGAAAATTTGCTCAATTGGAAAATAAAATTCCTCAGACCATGGAAAAGGGGATACCCAGCCTTCAGAGACTTTGTAGATTTGGCGAATGTTGTCAATATGCTCACCTATTGTTAAACCAACTGACAAAAAAAAGTACAATATTGAGACACATCGTCACTGAGGTTTAGCACTTAATAATTACATCCTACGTTACAAGCCCATCACCCTTACTAGTTGGAAAAGAACAGATATATTAAAGCTCTCTCCAATTATCCTGGTCAGTTTTGATGTAAGTGCTAAAACGGAACCGCAAAGTACAACTTTCAATAGACAAAAACGAACAAGAATTACGTGTACGGTAAGCACAGTGTGGAAAAATATTAATTTTGGTATCAAATGGTAACTTAGACAGTATTTTTGTTACATCAGATGTTGATACACTTGAAGCATATATACCTGGATTTTTGAAAACCGGGTTAGCAAAAATACCAACTACCATTCTACTTAATGGCAATTTAAAACAATATAACTCATTCAAAGGCCGATTAAAAGCCTTTATCTGACGCCGGGTAGTAAGTTAATGGCCCCTAGACCATTCCAAAGAGTCCAAATTGAAAACGACGCAAGTTTTAGAACATTTATTCAGTGATTTGACTTCGTGAAGTTTCAAACCGGAGTCATTTCAGTCTAGAAATTTTTAAGTTGAGTGAACGGAAGCGAAAGAGTGCCTGGTTAAGTCTCACATTGCAACTTAAATAGTTTGCAAAACACTACTTTTTTCGCGGTCCGATAAACGACAGGATTTCGCATGGAATAGACAACAAACTGAATGAAACATAGTACACAAATTATCACCTTCTTATCAGCAAGACAGGCCTATGGCTCAATGCCAGAGCCCGCTGAAACTAGACCTTTATCTAATTTTGCTGAGTCGAGAGTTGCTTTTCCAAGGTACAATCAGCTAAGCTAAACACCGACGAAACGTTTTTATGGCTGGCACATAATATTTTGGCGACACCTCAGTTCAACCACGCGATCACATACCTGTCCAAACCATGCGGAAATCACACAACCACACACTTTCGAGGCACTGATAAGACTATCCAAAACCACGCATAATCTTCTCACGTTTAACACAAGCGAAATATAATCGAATAACTCGGAAAACTCAGCCTATTGGCAGAAAAACACCTGCGGACTTTTTTTTCTTTTTTCACACTCGTCTTATTCAAGTTCCCGGATGTAGAGTCACACGGTCGGCAGAGCAGCCTACCCTTAGTCCAACTAATTCATTTTACTCCTAAGAGCCTGTTCCGAGGCCAAAGACCTAGTGGTCACCTTAGAAAAGCGAACAATTTCGTACCTTTCTGTCTCACCCCAGATGAGGGTGATTGATCCGTTTAGCCAAATGAAGCGAGAATATTTAACAATTATTCCTCGAGCACCAATGGGCTCTGAGTCAATAACCCATGTGTGCGAGGGGGATAACTGTTTTAGTAAAATAGTAGGTCAAAAAATATCGAAACAGAACAACTTTAGCTAGATAAAGACCTTTTTCGCCGCCAAAAAGCCGGCGCTTTTTGCTAAAAGTGGGATTTAACATGTAGCCTAGTAGTAGCTCAACCAATCAGAACGCAGCATTGATGATAGACCACTAGTTGGATTTTACTAAAATACGATATTGGACGATGCAGACTCTGCGAATCGTAATAACTTTGTCCCATCTCAGAGCTTTACATGCCGCTCGCCAGGAAACTATTCTCAAGGTGACCAATATCTAAAAGTAAACTGCTAAACGGCACCGAAACCAGCTTCAGGCGAGCACTGATTTCAAATAACTGTCACTTGTGTTAAGGAGAGAATTGTGGGTAGGGACGAAAAAATAGGGAGGGAGGGGGGGGGGGGTAAGATAGAAATACTGTCTACATCCACTTCTACACAAATCCCTAAGCACAAAACAAGCCACTCAGGTGAATTAAGTCATGGGACTTCGTTTCATGCGGGGTTTATGATTTGATCTTGTTTTTTTCAGTATCTTCTTTCATTTTAACTTTAGACCGTTTTGCTTAAAACCAGAACCACTCTTGACTTTTAAGACTACCTTCTTAAGATCACGTGACCAGTCACGCCATTATTATGCAAAATTTGGACTTTGCAGATTACACCACTTGAACACCATTGTTTTTCCTCCCGTAATATTTCATTTGTATAGGTAATAGCGTGATTTGTAGTGATATTTGGCATAAATACCACGAGTGATATTTCAAAATTGTTATACGTAATTTCACGAGCCGTTAGGCGAGTGAAATTTGAGACAATTTTGAAATATCACGAGTGGTATTTATGCCAAATATCATGTACAAATCCTGCTATTATTTGTTTATACTACTACCCGCCAAAGGTTTGTAATTTTCACATGTAGGTATTTCAAATTAAGCTGAAGTACCACTGCTCTAAGCCAATCAAATTGCAGGAATTTCTCCTGTAGCAGTATAAGGATTGAAATAAATAAGTCAAAAAAGGGTGCGTCAAGTCACGTGACAAAGATAACACATTAGCAATAATAAAAAATGAATGCTTATGGGGAGTAGATATTAAATTTAAAATTTTTACGCGGAAGGTAAAATCCCTACTAAAGCAGACCATCCCCCCACCAAATTTGCAGTGCCCCATTCCTTAATTCACAGGAGCAGAAAAAAAAAAACGACATTGGCAAACAACACAGTGACAAGCTATTAGACAGGCGAAGTTGACAAAAATTACAAAATATTTTCTAACCCGGTTAGTAAAACGAAAACGTAGATCAACACGTTACTGTTTATGTACTTCCTTTTTGTCTATTTCAAAACATTCGATTTTTACTTCTTAGCACACGTATACATGATTGTATAAGCCTACATAAAACCCTTTACAAATTGGCCTAAATCTGATTCCACACCACGGCCACATTGCTTGTGATCGACTGTTTATGCGTTTAATTCTAGTATGGTGAGGTATTACGCAAGTGGATGGAAACTGACAAGTATGTTGTATAGGGTTTGTTGGTTCAAATCGCTTAAACCAGCCACTACCGTCGGTTGCATCTAAGCGTGGACACGAGACAACAAAAATGTTCTAATAGGGTGCGAGACATGACGTGTTTCGCCGCCAAACGTTTGAAGTTTGACCGCCGTTAAAGCAAACTGTCGCGTCAAAGGTAAATTGATTATATGTTTTTGATCAGCAAGTTCCGCTCATTTTTCATGTTTCTCAACTTTCAGGCATATTTCTCGCTCAGAAATAGCCTGCTCCGGGCTATCAGAAAGAGGGGAAGACGCGAAAGTAAAAGGCACGCGAAACTTCTCCCGTCTTATTTTCGTGTTCGCATTTTCTCAATTCAGTGGGCCCGACTATCTCGGAGCCTGGAACAGGCTAGCTCAGAAACAGCACTGGCAATTGCCTCTAGAAATTATTCTTAACGTCTAAAATTCTTGCATATTTTGGCGCCAAACATTCGAAAGTGGAGTAGGCGCCTAGACGGCTGTTGTCGACATGATTTGTTTTAGCCTGCGAAAGGCAGACGTATTTCCGGTCGTAGCTTCTCTCCCTCCGAAAAATTATTATTATTTTTGTTATTTTTTTTTACACCCATTGTGGTCAACAATGCAAATTTTAGAGGGTTACGCAGAATTTGAGAGTTTTTGCCTACATTGCGTGGGATTATGAATCTGCCGCCAAGGCAACAAACGAAACTTTCCCAGTGTTTATTGATTTGTTTACCTTCTTAAACTCGATTCGAGGTTTTCCTGGTGCTAGCGAAGGCTGGAAAATCAAGTTAACGCGAACATAGGTGAATTTTGTTCAGTTAACTGTGCCTTTTTTATGGCGCCTTAAATTACTTGGATATATTTTGAATTCACGCATACTCAATTGGTGAACATGGCGTACAAGAAATGTTCTTTCGAAGGTTCATGAATTGAAGTGAGGATCTTTCAACTTTGAGTCCCATTTTAGGTAAAGCAGTTTCAATGAGTGGAGTAAATAATAAAAACCGCATGCAGCGTTCAAGACTTTCCCAGTAGCACTGCACTTTATTAATCAGTTAAGTAATGATAATTATAGAAAGCCATAAAAAGGAGGGTTATATCCGTCCGATTAGCAAAGCCAAAAAATTCAAGCAATGAGTTTTAACAAGCAAAACATTACTCTGCACGGAGTGTACGTGAATAATGGCGCACGCTTTTCGGTCGGATTTCTTTGCCGTTGCTGCCCGACTAAGACTATTTCCATATGGTAAGTTTTTTTTTGAGGCTGTAAACAAGCGAAGACAAATTAAATTTTTCTTTCTCTCTAAACTTTGATTGAATTCATTTAAAATAGTGGCGATTTCGCTGTCGTCGCATCGTAACTGCATCGATAACTGCACGACACACATTCGCACAGAAGCGAAAATAATAATTCTTCATGAGACCAAACTAAAACTCTTTACACAGAAATACCATTTTGGTTACGAAGTTAAAATGATGCCTATAGAACATATACAGGAAATTAGAGCAGTTAGTACTTGGAACGTTTCTTTTTGCGCACAGTTTGCATGCCGGCTTACAAAGTGGCCAAAGTGGCCGGACCAGGTGCCTTCAAACGGACCGGTCATTTTCTATGATGCAGGGTTTTTGGAAAGCTCAGAAGCTGTCGATTTGTCACAAGTTAGTGAAATGTTACGGCAACTTACAGGACAAATTTCAGCGCACTACTCCTCTTGTAAGATAAAAAATTAATACTCATTTACGTCTTTTTCGTCCGGACCAGGGATCACATACTCTAGAGGCTCGACGGTAAAAACTTTGAAAAGGATTAGCCTGAACTGAACTCTCTAAGATCGGATTGATCAACAATGAAATAATAATAACAACAACAACAATAATAATGAATAATAATAATTTTACACTTACTAAAATCAAACCTTAAAATTTCACTATAATAGGCTAATGCCTTAAAAGCTAAATGGTTAAAAAGGTTAAGCGACAAAAATGCTAAAATGAAAATATTACAAACTAAAATACAATACTCGGAAATCAAAAAACTTTCTTATGTCCCGCTTAAAAGTTTCCTTTAATAAAAGATTGGGGAGCTAATGCACCTATAATAACTTGTTCTTTTAC